ATTTCGGAGGCCGCTGCACGTCCTGACATTACAATGACAGCACAATTGCTGCAAGCCACAAGGGCAGAGACAGCTGGAGTATTTAAAAGCCAAAGGACCTTTTGGGTTCTCTTCTGAAGCACTTAAATCAGTTGGATCCCTGTGCCAAGGCCCAGCCCGTGTCTGGGGACAGATGGTGACTTGTTGCGCTCGCATTCTGTGGTTCAGAAACCAGTGCTGGAGGGGCAAGTGCACGGGGCAAACAGCATTTGGCATTGGAAATAAGCTGCCAGCTCTGCCCCGTGGATGGGTTTTGTTATGGCTGGTAGTCGAGCCCCTGTTCTCACCTGCAAGGATTTGGTTTCTGTGCTTTGCTGGTCGAAAGAAACAGCTGGGCAGGTTCTTGCACCTCCAGCTGAAACCAGAAACAGGCCTTGATGTTTTCCAAAAGACTCCCCACCATCTTACACAGCACAGGATTAAACGGCTTCCTGCAGGCCTGCCCTCCATGTGAAGTCACTCTATGGCTCAAAACCAGCTCATCTTGACCGGGCACTAGCTCCATGTTCACAAGCTCCCCGTGAAGCAAGGGCAGCACTGGGGCTATGCCTGACTGCAAGATACTGGAGCAAACAGCTTGCAGATAATCTAATCTTAACTACCCAGCAAGGAAGCTCTCTATGAAGTAACTTGCCACACACGGCTTCATGCCGTGTCACCTCCCCAAGGTAACAGCTTGGTCTCCATCCAAGAGGATACAGGGCAGTAACCACACAAATTGAGGATCCCAACCTACCTAGAGAGCCACAGCCACCAAACCTGTGTGATGGACTCGAGGCAGGTACAGGCAAGCGCAGAATTACCAGGACGGGTCTCTTACTATGTCTCACCAGACATTCCCATCTCGTATATCCTCATATGAGACCTTCCCTTGGGAAGTCTCCATACAGAGTTTCTTAAGTCATGATTTTTGCCTGAAGAACACGTAGACCGGTCATGGATACGTTCTCTGACTTCATGCCTTTTATTAACACGGAGTATTCATCAGATAGGAAGTGACCCCAGCTTCCTAATGCCAAATCTGGAGGGATGACTAAAGCTCTACAACATTTCCTGGAAAACCTGTGGGCTGCTAAATAAGGGCAGAGCAACCTAACGACGCGGCCCCTCTGCAGCGCTCCACGGCCCGGTTCACCGGGAAGCTGCAGCGCCTGCCGCCGAGGAAGGGGTTTGAAGGAGGCAGCTTTGGGGTGTCTCCATTAAAAAGAGACCAAATCCCATTGCCTCTTCAGACAATGGGCTCAAATCACAGCCCAAGCAGATGACAGATACCTGCGCAGCACCTGTAACTCCCTCTCCTGCTGTCACCTGTTAGTTGATGGCAGCACCTACCACTGAAGCTGCTTTGAAGCTAATGCAAGCTACGGGACAAGCTGTGTTCTTAGTAGTAACTTCTTGCATCGCCTCAGCAGGCGCCTCACGGGTGCCATGGCGGTGGCACCCTGCGCTTTATCACGGCACACATGGCAGCCCGGGGTAATCTGCCAAAAGGCAGCCCCAGGAGACACCATACAAAGTGTGTGTCAAAACCTTCCAGGCCAAAGAAAGATAGGAAGAAATTAAGGAAGGAGGGGACAATCTCTCTGTATCTAGATTTTCCTAAAGGTGCTCCCTGCTTGGGCAGTGAGGAAGCGCCTCCCCCAGGCAGGCGGCAGAGGCTGCAAGGTCTCCAAGGCTCAGCCAGGGTGTTGCTGCCCCCCACGCAGCTGCTGGGCCATGGCCAGGACCTGCTCCAAGGCTCAGCTCGCCTGGCTCCATCAGGACAGGGAGGCAGCGAGAGGAGAACCTGGATCCTCAGACAACGGGAGCGCCCACATCCCAAGTGGGCTCCGCAGCTCAAGGAGATCCTGACTTCATCCTGAGGTGCTGGAGAGCAGCGAGTCAGCACGAGGGGATGTGCACACCCCACAGGGAAGGTGAATCAATGCTGCTTTGAAAAGCTTGCATCAAAGGCGACACATCACAAAAAAATAATTGCATGGGCCTGCTTTGAATAGACCTCAGTGGCTGTATCTGACCTAATGCCCAAAGCCCGTGTGCCCAATTACTGGGAAGTGGAACAGACATTTCTGCACTTCAGATATTTGTGACTCACTAGCAGCCTCAGTTTTGCTACAGCTCCCTGGCTCTCCCTCCTCCCTCTCCAATTATTAATGCTCCAAGT